GGTAGCTTCTTCACCATTTGTTTTGTCCATTGCCATTTTAATATGCTGCCCCGTACGGGGGTAGCCGTTTTCACACATTACACTGACCTAGTAATGTTGGCTTGTTATATACACTTTTATAAAATAAATAATTAAGTGAATGAACAAGTAAAACATACACCTGGTTTTACTAGTGTAACACTTTCACAATACTATCAGTTCGTCGATAACACAGTAAACTCAGGCAGTAGTAGAAAGCTTATCGCGAGGAGAGACTCTGGGAGAGGTCTTACCCCGACGGGAGCCGAGCTCGAACCGTTTTGCAGAAATTCTGCTACATTTCCAACGTCTTGAACTAGTGGGTTTTTTGTCCGAATCGTGCAATAGTATGTAATATTCTTGCTTTGGAGATGGTTCACTCCTGTTTTATACGTTAGGGTTGTGGATAACGAACGTTTAATTTCATTATTTGCAAGGATATATAAAGGAAATTCTTCCCAAGAACGTTTTCTACTAATTTTTGGAAACTATATACATTCGTTATGTAAGTAGACTGCAGTAGTTTTCATTTACTTTTGCTTGGTCATCTGTTCACCTGTTGATATTCGCGAATGGCGCAAAGGAATTTTTTTGACTGATTTCAGGTTGTTAGGAGTCGTTGGTATTTTTACTTGTTTCAAGCGATCTGAGGAGTTGGTTTTTTTTCTCTTTTTCTTACAGACTACAGTTCCTTGCTGTTGCTGTGATTTTGTCCTTGCCTTTTCAGGGTCTTCTTGATATACGGCAGGTCCCGGTTTCTCGGCCCTGACCTCATGTGGCTTACTTTTATTTGAAGGCTGCGGTTGCAAAGAACGTGCTGCGAGCGTCCGTTGTCTTTAATTTTCTTCTTTTTCTTCTTCTTTTTCTTCTTCTTTTTCTTCTTCTTTTTCTTCTTATTTTTCTTCTTCTTTTTCTTTTCTTCTTCTTTTTCTTTTCTTCTTCTTTTTCTTCTTCTTTTTCTTCTTCTTTTTCTTCTTCTTCTTTTTCTTCTTTTTCTTCTTTTTCTTCTTTTTCTTCTTCTTCTTCTTCTAACCTCTGCTATGTTTCTTGTAGTTGAATGTATTGCAATTGATGTTGTTGTTGTTGATGCTGTAGTTGAATCGCGTGTTGCAATTGATCTACTAGTCATGGTTACGCCAATGGATTTTCACAATCCTCGATAAAATTTTACTTTCCATTGTTACTCCACTAATTAGTGTTGATAACGCTGCGAATCTGTGCTGGCCCCATATCGGGGCAGCTACAGAAATGCATAGGTCGTTTTTTAAACTTTAAACTTCGGGTACACTTATGAGTAATTTAACACAAATCACTATCGTCACTGATACAAACAGACTGCCAGTGTTCCGGTAACTGACCACAAGTGAATGCCTTAAAACATATTGAACTGTTGTTACTTATATATGTGCTATACCACATTGAAAACGCCAAATTTGAACGTTTATTTATCGTAAATCCAGTTCCAAGTTGGACACACCATTTTGAATCATTCTCTTTATATTCGAAGGTATTTTTCTTTCAACAATTTGATTTTTGATATAATTCCCAAACATGTCCGACTCCAAATTTCTTACGTTGTTAAGCAATACTTACGTGAGTCAACGAGTCATCTCGTACAGATAAGGTATTCTCTGAAAATTTATTCTGTCTAAAAAATAAATTGATTGGTCTGTGGAGTCTAATTATTAAGGTACTCGTCTACCAGAGTTTTTTAATTTTTATTTGAAGTGTAAAATACGAGTTTTGGCAGAGGATATTACACTTGTATTTGTTGGAAGAACAATGTCAATGATTAAAGTTCTTCAAGGCGGCTTAAACTTGTACGCTTCTGTAATACGTCAGGATTCAAATTTTTGCCAACCAAATCAATGTACATGATATTGGCAAAAAGTGCTTGAGCAATACCAGAACCCAAACTCTTCCTAGGAAACAAAGAACTAAAACAGTGTAAAGAAATGAAAATTCTGGGTCTTTTTTTTTTGTACCAAATTATCATGGAAACTCTACATAAAAAACAGTCATTCAGTGCAAGCAACGTGTCAACCCTCTGAAAGCTTTATGCTCCAAAAATTGAGGAGCTAACCAAGACATCCTAATGAAGACATACAGATAATTTATTCGAGCAAAAATTGTTTAATTGTAAAATTGTAAATTTATTAGATTCTATATAAACAACTTCAAAAAAATTAGCAGTAGACCAAGACTGAGTATTCTAGTAGAAGGTCACAAATTACAATTAAAGTTAAGAAGATAACTTCTAACCCGTAAATATGCTTCATCAACCATCTGTCTTAAAAGTAATCCTATGCACCATAAGCAAATATCAATATCAAATTATCTTCAACAGCACTTCAATAATCTACCAAAACCTTTACTAAACAGAATAAGTATCGTCAATAACGACCATGTTCTTGTTGTGACCACCAGTTCCACCATGGGAGGAACTCAAATTTCACCACATTAACCACATTCTGAATGAAAAGTATGGCAAAGACAACACTCCTAACATTGTGTTCAAAAGCTTTTTCAAAGAATTATCGCTTAATTACATAAACTATCCCCACATATATACAGATGGATCTGTGATAGATGCAAGGAAAGGTTGTGCAATCATCTTTGAAGACCTAGAACTTCTCTTCAAATTGCCAGATTCGTTTTCAATATTTTTCTGTGAATTCGCTATAGATAATACCCTAGATCTAATCACCAATTCGGAACTAAACAGTGCCATACGTTCTACTCGTTCCAAATCAACTTTAGCTGCATTACAGAACCAGTTCCGGCATTTGCGCATTTCTGAAAATTTGGAATTTTGAGCTAGTTTTCACAGAAAACTGTTGAGTTTTCGAGAAGCTTTATATGACATTATTTAAAGCACTTACTCATAAATACAATATTGTGAACTAATTGTCGAAAATATAAATATTAACGTGACAGACAAGTAAAAATATACAGTTTTTATTTTTGAAAAAACAAAAGAATAGAGCAATATGGTAATATACTTCATTTCATCACATAGAGTACGTATAGCCCTATACGTATCAAAAGCTTAAAGTAAAAATTTGGATCCGTTTTCGAGAAAATGTTGTTTTTGTTAGTTTTAAAATTACACATATTGCAACCAAAATGTGAAACACTGCTAAAATTTTGAAAAAAATGTACATAACGTTATTAAAATAACTAATTATGGAGAACAAATTTCATTTAAAGTTAAAATCTCTATCTTCAATTTCCTTGTTATAGGAACTCGCTGAAAATTATTCGAAGTGTTGCAACAATCGAAAATTCAGAGTAATCAGTGAAAATAGTACATATGCCACCTTTAAACGTGTATTTTACTCTATTTTTACAAGAAATTTAAAGAGAAAATTTGCAACCATTTTTTAGAAAATTTTGAAAAAAGTCTATGGGGGTTCTTGAAAAGTGCCCCCAAAAATTAATGAATGTTTCCCCAAATCGCTGAGCTTTGATTCATGGCACATCGACAGGGTTTAATTCAGTTTGGAAAATAATCGTACTCCTAGTTTAGGCGCTAGTGTCTGTCAAAACTAGCTTCAAAATTCGCATTTTCTAGAAAACTCAAGCGCCATTTTCTCAAAAATTGCTCCAATTTTTTCTTCAAATTTTTAGAAATTATGGTGCTAATTGAACTCTTTAATATGACGTCAAGTTTATTCCCGGAATCTTTGTCTGTTGTTTTTCCAAAAATTACATAAATGTATTTTGTTGAAAGATATCTTTCGCTGTTAGTATACACATTTCTAACAATTAGTAAACATTATTGTATTTGTGAGTTAAAGTACTTTAAATAACTTCAAATGAAGGTTTTCGAAAACTCAAAACTTTTCTGTGAGAAAGTACTTCAAATTTCGCATTTACTATAGCACTTAAACGTCATTTTTTTTAAACCGCTTGGAATTTTTAAAAGATAATTGCTATTTAGGATGAGATTTTACTGTCTTAAAATATTTATAAAATAATATTCCCCTCTACTACTAGGAAGCCGGAAAATTAAGATTTTTTTAAGAAAAATGAACTTTTGCCATTCTCTAGCACCACTAGATTTTAAATGCGTTATACCACTCGTATATTATTTCCAGGTTCCAATATTCTAAAATAAATATTTTTTCACTAAATTTGTATCAAATTTTTTCTTGAGACGTTTGGTATATCTCAATATAAAAACGAAAGTCACGAAGACAGTGAAGCAACACTCATGCTTTGTACGAACGAGCATTATTTTGCTACCAGAGAATGTTCCCTGTACCACCACCAGTGAAAATCGATAGCCATATGGAGTAGCACACCACACCACCAACCGGAGACTCAGGTCGTGGTGTCATACCCAGAGAGATGTCCAAACATCTGAGCCCCCTAGGCGTTAATGCAAGTATAACAAATCAACTCCATAAGGACGCATCCTGCGCCAGTACCTCTGAAATTCTTAGGTCCTTGGCAGGTCCCGAATTCAGAGAAGTATTTGCAGATAAAGAGCTGCAGATTGTGTTACAATAATAATATTAATAATAAAATTAATAAATCTCAAATAATTTTGTGCGAAGGCATCTTCTAAACTAACGCATACCTCTAAAGTTCAATTAAATATACGCCATGATGGACAAAACTACCATATTTAAAATGATACAAGGCTGGGAAGCTAAAAGAGAAAATTCAACCTTGGCTCAATACACAAGAGTTGGTTTCAAACGTAAGACACAATTTTCAAGTACATTTTGAATTTGCAAAAGAGGAATATTCATACGAACATATGTCATTCTCATATGTAATCACTTACATTTTACTTTCAACTTTAAAACTGTAATTTTTTAATTGTGCAGTTATAAATTTTTAAAGCTAATATGGTTAATTTACTGATTTCTTCCTCTATTTTTTCGGTATTTTACGCGTTTGCATCACTGTTACGTACATAGAACACCCATTTAGTTATTTATTTAAATACTTATTATAATTTTTGTTCTTAGGATCGACACCAACGGACCATTTGAAGAGGGCTCTAGTTACACCAGTCGACGATAGTTCGTGTAAACAAACCTACCCTAAGATTTTCCGGTCGGAGATGATATGTGCAAGAAGTGATGAAGTGGATACGTGTAAGGTAAGTGCGACGACTTTTCCTTCACAAAAAATGTTTCATTAAAATTTTTTAAAGTTTTGTTTTATATTCTTATTTAATACATTATTTGAATGCGTGTTAACCAGATTGGTGTAAGTGATATTTCAAAAAAGTTTCATAAATTTTCTGAGAAAAACGTGTTTATTTTAGGTTATATTTCAGTGGTAATGTATTTTCGTTGTTTTAATGAACAATTAAAATGCCATGGTTTTAATGATGAAGCAATGCACCACGACTTTACAGAAATATTGGCTTAAATAAACGGATTTCTCTGAATTTATAAAATGACACTTATACCGTTCTTGTTTTCACACATTGAATTGAATTGAATTGAATTGAATTTGCCTTATTTTACGTGGCGAGACTCGGGCCATTAGGCCCGCTCTTCCGTCTGACCACGCAAATTTCGCTACGCTCCTTTCATCAACATTCACTTGTAAGTTATTACTTTTCGCGTGCTTGAAAACCTTGGAAGAGTGACTACTACCAGTGTAGTAGTGAGCCGTACTAGGATGTCATAAAAAATATATTTTTGTTTTCAGAAAGTGTTCAAGTACCACAACACTTTTTGCTAGGGATATTTATTTCATTTATATAGTATGACGCGGAGTTCAAGAAATAGTATACAGTATCTCAGAACATTTTTTCATCGTATAGAATAAAGATACCATTGCCATGATTTCGAAATATTTTTTAATCACTAGAAGTAGTTTTAATCACTAGTAGTATAAATTATTAGGTAAACGAGTACATTATATCTGTGGTAGTTTTCTTCACTCGTTACTTAAAATGAGAAAAACGATAGGAATGTAGATATTCAAAACAATGCTTTTCGTGACATCAACCACTTAAAATACTGTAGAGTAATTTTTAGATCCTTACTTTTCTGAAGGAAAGATTGTATGTATGCATGTGAGTTAACAGGTTGTAAAGATCTCGGAGGCCAAAAAGCAATGGGCGAACGGCACCGGAGCTTTGTGTGAGCGCTCGATTTTTAGAATAGTTATAATGCCTTTGACCCCAAAATAAGAATCGTTACATGTCGTGCGGTTAATACTCTGAAGCTGGTCGTGCTTGCGCAGGGCGACTCCGGCGGGCCCATGCAGTACCTGGAGGACTCCAACAGCACCATCTACACCGTGGTGGGCGTGACGAGCTTCGGGCCCAACCCGTGCGCCACCGGTCGGCCGGGCGTGTACTCGCGCGTCGCTAGCTACCTGTCCTGGATCGAGAGCGTCGCGTGGCCCAACTGAGCCAAGGGCACGGAACTAGTGATGGCAAATTGTAGCAAAACATCGATACATCACCACAAGGTTGCTACATTGATGTTTAAAATATCGATGTTTTAAATATGATGAAACATTTCGAAGTAAAATGTCTTCTAATGTGGTACATAACACTTCAATATCAGTTTAAAGTATATTCTTCCTTAAATTTGACTGTCATCTTAATTTTCTAATCTATTTTCTATGTAGTCGAGGTTCAAATTGCTGTTACCTCTTTGAAAATAATCAAACAAAGGTAACAACACTGGGAAAAGTTTGCGAATAACAAACGGTTTCGTGCCACCTAGGGATATACAACAGTAAGAGTTGGTAATGACTGTTGATTGCGACCACACCACAAATAAAATAGATACTGGAAATTGTATTTATACCATGAGAATTATTTTCAAAACATCAATGTTTTTGGACAAATACATCAATCTCAAGAACACATGGAAACCAAAACATCGATGTTTCTGCTCAAAAAGATCGATGTTTTGTTGCCATCTCTACACGCAACATTCTTTCGGGAGGTTGCTGTTTCAAGGGCATGTTGGAACAAAAGTCTTTGCTTCCTTGAATGTAGAGGATTTGATTTGTGACAACTCATAGTCTAAAGGACGAATCCATCATTCATGGAGAAGGAATTATCTCTTTTGGTGAAAAAGGGCCACTAGACGATTGGTTTGAGCCATGAAAGTGTTTCAGAATGTCATGTAAGGTGGTGCAGTCTGTACAGCAGGCTCGAGCTACTAGTCCGTCTGGCGAAGAGCCTAACCTTCCAGCAAGAACGGACAATTTCTCGTGCTCCGCCTTGAAATTCTATCTTGAATAAATATTTTTGCCAAGGGGCAGGAATTATGTTTAAATGAAAAAATATTTACTTGTTTTCGTTTTGTAGTATTATTAAATCATTCACATATTCGTTGTGTATAACAATAATGTGGAATATTTGTGCAATACGTAGTGTTATATGTATTCTATACAATGTGGAAAGTTTCTGTGTATTATCGATTCTCGCTTACGGGCTGACAGCTCTTTTAACATGCAACCTTTGTCTGTTAAACTCCTAACCTGAACATATGAGGGTAATGCAATTATTACACACTTAAGTAAACAGACCACAAAATAATGTTACTTTAGTCATTTCAAATTGTCATTAAATATTCTGGATCTAATATGTTATTTCATTTTAATTGACTATTTATTTGCTTTAGTAGAGGCAATGGCAATCAATAAAGCTGCATTTGGGGAAATAATTGTCAACTGACTTCTCCAACACACAGACATGGTTTAGATATCCAGTGATGCAGCGCCAGTCCGAATCAGCTTGTGCAACCTTTAGTTTTAAATCTCGCACCAGTTATTCTGAACGCAGTACCCGCGAACTCCAATAAGCTATGGTTGCGTAGGCTTCCGCGGACGGAGTTTGTGTTGTCTAGGCTCTCCGGGGTGAGCAGCGTCACTGACATGGTTCTTCAGAGCGTACTGCATTTCAGCAGTACGCTCTGAAGAAGGCCACAATACGCTGGCCGAAACAGCCACCATGTCAGTGACGCATCTCACCCCGGATAGCCTAGACAACCCAATAAGCTAGTTATTAATACCTTGCCAGCGACCTTGTCATGCCTGCTAAAATGTGCTATTTCCATATCTTTACAGAAATGTGATGTGAATATCCTATATAAGGACCAATCTGGAAATATATTTTAATACTTTTGATTCCTTATTAACCAGGAAGAATAGTGTCAAGAAAGTTTGCGTGGGAATTCAGTCACTTCTGTTCTGACACTTGAAAAAATTCTATTAATGAGAAATCATCAGAAGAAAAGTAACATGTCTGAAAAATGGTCGTTTTCCAGGAGAAAGGCTTTATTCAGAGTGGAACCATTTAATATGCACTCAGTTACAAAGTTCTGCACCCTACCTACCGGTAGTTTTTTGAATTACCCTACTGTCCTGACTAATTAAAAAAACTACTTCTAAACACATGTAACTAAAATATTACATTTTTTTTGAGTGGTGTGGTGGAGTGGAGTGGAGTGGACTTTTCTTCACATGATATATCATCAATTTTGTAAGACTTATGAGATGATATATCTTACGGAATTGACTGCTATATTGCCAATAGCATTTGAACATCATGCTTTATAAACAATCATCATGTTTATTGTATGTCAGATACAATTATACAAATAACTATCAATTTATACAAATTTGTAAGGAGTGAATTAATTTCATTCATGTTCCAAAGGTGTGTAACTACTCTATCAGGAGGGATATCAGAAATTTTTTTTCCCAATGGAAGAAATCTTGCTTAAAAAAAGAGGACATTTTACATTTTTATACTCCTCGATGTACAGACAATGTACTCAACAATTCCAAATTCTTAATACTGCTTTTTAAACTATAGTCTTTAAAAAGCATGTTCGACTTTGCATCATTAAAAATGAAAGCTTTCAATTGGATAACTTTGCCCTCACACTCACTTTCATTATCCACCAAACAATAAGCATATATAAATGTTACATTACAATAAGCCTAATAATTTATTATGCAGGCTATTTATTTGAGTAATCATGTAGATATTCAAGACACGAAGTCCCTTTAATGAATTATATAACTTTAAAAAGTAAGCCAGTATTATTTTCAATTCAACAGGACAAAAAGGAGAACATTCCATATAAATTTAAAAAAGGAGAGAGAACAGGAGAACAATGTTAAAAAAAGGAGGACATGTCCTCCAAAAGGAGAACAGATGGCAACCCTGTACATCAGTGTACTTCACAGCACTACGATACTATTGCTCTTTATGTTTGTTAAATGTGCGTCGTGACAAATTATAATTTCTGCAAGCTTGTAGATTACATATCCATTTTCTTTCTATTGTGGAAAATCTTCCTATTTTTCTTAATCCATTTTTCAGCTGCATCCAAATAACATACCAAGGACTCTCAAGTCCACTACCACTTACCTATTGTGTTGACACTGTAACAAACATAACTAACAGGTTAAACTGTTGAGAATTTCCAAAAAATATAATTAATACTTAAGGCTCTCTGATAATCAAGCAGATGAATTTAAAGCACTTAACAGTTAATTCTGTATTAAAGGAAATGACATATCACTAAAAATATACTCATAAAATTATTATAATATGCTTAAACTTAGTTTCTTTTATTCGAGAGAAGTGGTACTAAGCGCTGAAAACTTTTGTAGTAAATCCCACAAATTTATACATTTATTTGAATGTAAACACAGTAATAGGAAAAAGCTGGAAGTGAGAAATATTTAACTGCCATGTCAACAAATGTGATATATATAATATCAATTTTTTTTTTTTTAAATGACATAAAGTTGAAACAGGTTTGAAGGTAAATTGGCAGCAAAAATTAAAGGTTTTAGCGGGTCTTCTTGCTACCATCTACATCGATAAGATTTTCTGAAATGCAGGCATGGTGATCATTGTGACCGAGTTATTTTAATTCCTGTGATTTTTGGCTTGGATTTGTACCATAATAGCTTGGGCTTCTGCTCTTAGCTATTTATTTAAATAGTTGAGGTTATTTGTTTTTTTCAGATATTTATTGGTTCATATTGATAATAATTATTAGTTATTTGTAGTAGAAATTAGTGATTGTTTGGATTATCTTGCGACATTTGTGCTAACTTTTATAGAGTTATTAAAGAGTTTGAAATTTGTATTTGCTACATTCAGATACCATTTAATTAATAGTTATTAGTTACTAATTGCATTAATTGTTGTATAATTAGTAATTAGTGGCTTATTAAAATGTTATGTTTGAATCAACTTTTAATGATTAATATTAATTTGAAGATTTTGAAAAATCTACACTTATTTGAAGTTATTTAATTAGTAGTGAATGCATTTAATTAGTGGTTAAGTGGTTCACAAAAAGAAACAGATGAAAATAAAATGCACCTAAAAAGTCAGAATTGTGAATTTCAAAGTATTTGTAGGTAGGTGAATTATTTTAAGTGCACTGTGTTGACTAAAACATTTTTGAGTTAGCTATTTCTGTTGCATTGTTACTGTTTTATATTAACAGTTAGAAACAAATATTACATTTTTTTAAGTGACTACCGACAAGTGAAATCGGTGTGTTACTCATACTGAAAGAAATAATTTTGGATTATTGAAATTAGAAATTAAAAATTTTACTAAAGTACCAAAAGTATTAATTGACATTTGAGATAGTGAGGATAAAGATGAAACACAAGAAATGGATAGTCTCTAATAGAGATTCACCGTATTGTTTTTAGACATTGTAGTTTATTTAATTGATTTTCATACCCAAGGCCACGTGTCATTTGTTTCAATTTATTCTTTCACATGATTTTGGTTGTTTCAGACACTTCATTTTCTAATCGTCATTATTTTTTTTTCCGTTGTGGTCACATGGTCAGAAAAGAAAAAAATATTAAGGCATAACCGTTTCTCACATCTTTACTCAGTGATTCAGTATGAAACTTAGTTTTTGTCATCAAGGACATGATCTTTACTATCCTGATCACCATTATCTCCATCCACTCTTCCTGGTTCAATTTATTTAATACAGCACATCTTTTACAATTTAAACTACTTTTACTAGCTCTTACTATCATGTCTATAATATGTATAAATTATTGTCTGAATAAATTGAATAAAAGTAGTGAATTGCCTTTCTAATTCAAATCTTAATCAAAAAAATGTCTCAGGCTTGACATTTTTTTATTTTTTAAAGATTTTTGAAGCTTTTAAAATGTCTGGTAAATAAGTTTTATTTGCAATAACGTTAATTATTTTAGTCATATTATTGTTACATAAATAGATATTGTATATTAAATATATTTTTTATATTAAAAATAGATATTTTCAATAGTTGGAAGACTTATTGCGGGCATTCATAATACTGTGAAACCAGTATTGATACAGTAGACTCTTACAGGTAAGTTGCTGTTGCATTGGCTGTTATTCAAAGCTATTTTAGTTTCTAATCAATATCCCCCTATATTTAAATTAATCTTAAAATGCTTAACAATTGTCACTTTTAAAAACTCTTTTATTTTTGATAAATTAAAAATTATTTTTTGCGATGTATTTTTTACTTTGATGTTTTACATTATAGTTTTATTGGTTACTAAAATTAAATTGTTCTTGTTTTTGTAGTTTTTCAGGTAATTTAAAAAACTTATTGTAACCATTGATTGTATATGAAGAGGAAAACAGTTTTACGAAACGTAATAATAAATGAAAAAAAGAAAATACATGGTTTCACTGTCATAGGAATTACCCCACAAAGTCTTTCAACTATTAACAATATATCACGGGTTTTCATAAATGTATTTTTAAATTCAAAATAATAATTATACTTATGTATTACATATACTTTGTTGCAAATTGATCACTTATGAAGAGAAATATATTATTCGCTGAGCTCCAAACCTAACAAAGAGAAAAAAGAGAGGATAGACTAATAAAGGATCGAACTCAACGAACCCTTTCTTCTGTGATATTTTTGTGGTTATAGATATACGATATATTTTATGGTATGGTTATACTTTTGTGAAGAACAAGTACTAATGTAGGAAAGAAAATTTTAATATTTCATAAAAATTGGGTGTCTAAGAAGAACGTGGCAGCCAATACTGTAAATGGTTAGTATTGAGAATGAAACAAGAAAGAGAAAATGAAACTATAAACACCCAATGATAAATTTAGTTAGAAGTGCTGAAATTTAGTTAGAAATTTAGCTGAACAAGATAAATTAAAGGCGAAGTGGTGATTTAATGTTTTTACTACATTATTATTTTATCTAGACGTTTGGAATTTCTCAAGATAACCAATAATAAGAAAAAACCTTTTTGTCGAATATTTATGTGAGCCTCTATGTTATACAAATGTATGGTTTTATATACAAATCCTTTTTATGTTAAAATTATACAATTATTATCAAATATACCGTATGAATTTCACTGAGTGTTCTTTTAAAATGTGTGCAAACATTTCATTAATTATTGAGGCGATGCAGAAAATTTAAATAATTTATATCTTTACTTAAATTAACATTTAAAAAAATTATTATTTTGTCTCCGAGAAACATTAAAAATAGGCTAGTGTCGACGAAAATTTGAGATTCATTTTTTGAAGTGCTCCACTTCACAAATCCATACGGAGTAGGTCAGGTCTTGCGGTCAACTGAATATAATACCAGAAAGACAGTCTTTACAATCATAATGGGGCTGCTACTGTCCATAACACTATGCTTACAACAGAAAAGAAAGAGTACTGCCAGCAGAAAACATGCTCAAATGTTCCAAGGGCAGCCGATGTGTTTGTTGAACACCCGCCGCGTGCGTTCGTCAAATAGCGCCGCCATTTCGAGCGACATCTCTCGGCGGCCTTCCCCAACTACGCCCTTACGAATGAACTTTTGCTCTTCAGTTATTTTCCCATCTTCTCGCATTATCGATAATTCCTCCTCCAGATTCACGGAACGATTCAACTTCATTTGTTTAAAATCCAAATGTTCCGCAAGGCGCAATACTTGTTCCTCGGTTATATCTTTCCCCAAAAACTTGGCTGTTCGTCGTATCACGGAAGGAAGATTCTGGAAAAATTAAATATGATGGCTTTAGAAACAGTACGAGAGGATATAATGAACATTACAAACAAATTCGCTCTTGCTTCCTCACCGTTTTCATTTCCTCGTATGTGTTAAAGAGAATATGCGGTTCGTCCTTAAGTTTCCAGAAATCCAGCACGTGTTCCCAAAATGGCGCGTATCGCACTGAAACATTGAATTTGTATTGGACATTTTACGGTCGGATTAATCAGACTTTCTCAAGCTAACCGTCTTTACAGGCCTAGACCCAGTTTTTATTTTACTATCCACGCCTCAGGGTAAGAGAGATATGTGACGAGCATGGTGTATTCCCATTACCGTACCTAGCTTAATTGGCCTCACTGAACATTTCCTTGAACACAGCTGAAACAATTTGTATTAGAAAGCTACAGCTTCGTTTTCACTCCGGTCGGAAATAGAACCTAGGTCCACCTCAGAAAACAAGCACCGTGTCCATAAGACACTCGAGGGGCATTAATTTGTAACTGAAGAGTAAATATAGAGTGAAAAATACAGTGTGTCTCCTTGGTGACGCCCGAGCTTGGAGTATCGTCCAAGTAGCAGCAGCCGAAGTCTTCCAATCTTCAAACACCTATACCCAGGGGCACACGCGCGCAAACACACGCGCGTGCGCACACACGCACACACACGCGCGCGCACGCATACACGCACACACACGCGCGCGCACGCATACACGCACACACACGCGCGCGCACACTCGCATACACGCACACACACGCGCGCGCACACACGCTTGCACACGCGCGCACGCACGCATACACGCGCGCGCGCACACTCGCACACACGCAGAATTTGTCTACGCAACAGCAATAAATTTTAGAGGTTTACTTGAATTGCAAGTTAATACTTTTGTGTTTATTTTTAATGAAAAAAGTTTCGGGAACCCAATAACCTCGGTGCCTGGGGTAAGTTGTTTCCACTGCTACCCTTTTGGGGGTCCCTACCAATGCCAAAGGCCTAGGCGTTTTCACTTTAGGCTTAAGTTTATCGTTTAATTCTCGTACAATTCACGTTATCTCATCCGAACATATTTTTGCACTCGCAACATCACTCACCCCCCATGACTAACATTTCTCTTACAATCTTGGCGATACACCACACAATTCTATTAATTTACATTAAAACTCTTATTTATATTTTGTTGAATTTTTGCAAAGAGAAACTTAAAATAAAAATTAAATTGATGAAGTTTATCAAAAACAATATTTTACAACAAATAAAGCAGAAATAATGTATTTTGAGATACGCCGAAACAAAATTTTATCTAAAGTGGCTGCAATTTTTCTCAAATAGTTCCATATTAAACAATGTATTATGTTTTCTTTCTTTGTTATCTACCAAAAAACTAATTTCGAGTTCGCTCTATGAGTCCGAAAAATTAAGAAAAGTTGAAAATGTGCGAGTGTTTTATATTTAAACAATATTTATGAAGTACTAGTATCATTGTATAAATTAAAAATTTAACCACACTTAAAGAGAAACTTTCTCTACATTTTGTTATGAACATTTTCTACACAGTTTGTAGATTTATGGCTTCCCTAGGTATATATCTGAAAGAAATACAAAATAATTTGTCAAGACAACAATCCTTTGCCATAAATTCTGTCAGCATTTCTGATGTAGAATATGTAATTCAAATTTGCCTTCAGACTCAGGTGGTGCTTCAGTTACCTCCACAAAAATAAAATTTCCACGAAAATAAATTTGGAAATAGCTGTCATTTGAAATTAATATAGAAAGACTATAATGACAATAAGAAGATATTGTATTTAATGTATATGATTTGTGTATGCATGCATACGTACAAATATGCAGCAACTTTGTTACCGCAGGAAAATACTTGCTTAACACACCACATGTGACTCTTCGGTCACGAAACGCGTGATAAATTGCATTGTGAAACTGTGAATTGAACGTGACTCAATGCTTCCTTAGGTTACGTTGTCGTTTCCCCAGTACCATCACTTTTATGTTCTTGCCGTTTTTAAATTTCCGATCTTGGTGGTAAGTACACCTTTTCTGTTACAATAAACTCTTCGAATTATTATTTTAAAATCTAGACAAGAGTTGTTATAAAGAAACTATGACTCGTACGTTATAAATTATTTTGTTTATTGTTCATTTGCGTCTTTCTTAGTTCGTCTGTGCTGCAGAATGCAGCGATCTAAGAAAAACCTATTAATTACATTTGACATATTTATAAATTATTTTACTTTTTTTTCATTTATTACTTACTAGTAGAGTTTAATTGTTGTGTATAGTTCATCGAGTTTGGTAAAAACTAAGAAACTACTATCACTACCATCACAGCCACCTGAACCACAACCATTACGAGTCTCGAATTTCAAATGTTTTTTGCAACAGGAAGGGTGAATAAATAAAAACGTTGATGCATAAAATTCACAAAAACTTGTTAAGTCACACAAATTGTCTTAAAAACTAAAAAGCAGTTTTAAATTAAAAAGAGAATTTGAAAGACTTATGTCTTCAAATTTCTTTGGGGTCTTTCAGACGTCACAATTGGAGCAATGATACCCTATTGTATCATAGTTACGCAACGGAGCGTTTCTCAGAAATGCAGAGATCTCAGTCAAATTCGAATATGCGCAAATTTTATGAGTGCACTTTACTTTATTAGAGAAAATAAATAAAAAGGGTGAGCTATCTTTCAGAAAATTTCGAAACTATGTTTAGGCTTCATGCAAAATATTCTTAAAAATATTTTAATAAATAATGCACATTTAAGAAATAGAACGTATAGTTGATGAGCAGACTTACCAATATCTTCATAAAAGCATTTAAAAAAGAATTCCTTATCTCCACGAAATTCGTAAATAAGTTGGTTGAAATAGAAGAATGAGACAGCAGTATCCTTTGGTTCCCGAGCTACATAGATGATCTGAAATTTAAGATAAAATTTGATTTTGGTAATGCAACTGTTTTGTTCAGCGCCTGTTCTTTCATCTAATTGATGCAACTTATTTCTATTTTTTTAAATATGCTACAAATTATGTATTTGTAAAAAGCAGACGCCAAAAAATGACGTCACATACTCACAACCCAACCAAGGGCAGAATGGGAAATTTCATTTGTGTATGATTTCGTCAAAAATGTTTTTTTAATTTCACACTTGTATTTATTGAAACATCAGTCTTAATTTACATAACAATCCTCAATAAAACTAATGGGTAATTTTAGCTTGGAATACTACTCTCACGTTCTTAGGTTTGCGAAATAAATTATTCCAGAATTGATTTAATACACTGTACTACATAAGCTGTTGCAACTTCATTCTATTCTGAAGAATTCTAAAACAGCATATGGTGTGGGATTGTTGCTATTACATGAAGTAATATAGTTCTCAAAATAATATGAATATGTTACCAGAGAAAAACTGTATCCAGCTGATTAATATGAAGTGCAACTCATACAAAACCTTGGGCCTTTTCGTCCATAATTCATCTGGAAGAAGATCTTTCGGCAAGTGGCTCTGAATACAGCGTGGTGACGAAATATTAGCAGCTTGGTGGACTGTGTCTAAGCCATTTACGTTCTCTTTTCTTGTTTTGCTTCCTTTGGTACGACTGAATCTACAGAAAAGTACATTAAATGTTATTAATCTACAATATACTGGTGAACATGAATTGTACCAACAAACATTGGAAGATGAATCGTTAGTAGCACTGACACAAAACGGCCGCGAAAGTACATGGTTTAGTATTTACTCTTAGGAAGAGAGGAATAAGGTCGCCTATTCTTTACAAAAGTGACGAAAAATTATTCATTTCAAGCACAATGGATCAGCCCAATGCAAATGAAAAGTCCAAAGTAGATAATTATCTTAAAAATCCTAAACATACAATTACCTCATTCGTAAAGTTTAATGATCAAACTTCCATTTTTAAACTTCTAACCCATTTTCACTTAAAAGCCAACTTCTTAAATTTGTTGTCAGAGTTCAGATTTACTCTGTGTAGACAAGTGCGATTTGTGTGAATACTTACTCCATGTATGGAAATCTTATCTTTAAGTTATGTTCCTTTGCCGTCTTGTAATCCAAGTCGTGCACAAGAAGCCACACCATCTCTCCAGTCCACGTTGTTCCTGAAATGCAATTTATTTGTCGTGTTCAGAATGATTCGGTTAATATTACCTTCAAAGTTTAAAAACTTTCATTGTTCGTCGTGGATATCGCGCAGTCGTTTTCTGCAGTAAATCGTCAAAATTTCCAAACCATTCACTCATCATTCAATTATCATTCGCTCCTCCATTCATTCATGATTAACTCATCATTTACTTTACGTCCGATTTACACGTTGCCTGCAAGCATGCCACATGTCAGTTGAGGCTGTCAATGACTAGTAAGTAGTGATTGGCAATGTGTGAACGCCTTGTTGCAAGTGACTGGCAAAGAACTTCGCGACAGTCACAGGCGTTGCCAGAGAGTATATATCAGAGACGGCAGTCAATGTTAAACGGAAAGCCCTTATTTTCGTGGAGGGGAG